GTGGCCGGCAGCGGCCACGGCACTCCAGTCTGGGCGACAGAGTGAGACTCCAACTCAAAACAAACAAACAAACAAATAAATAAAAATAATAAAATAATAAATGTCATCATGGAAACTAAAATTTACACAGTAGAGGTAGCAGGAGAATGAATCTCCACGCACCACCATGGTGTTCTTGCCAGTATTTAACTTAGAACTCTCACTTTAGCCTCACTTATGTAGCCGAAATGAATGCACTTCCATAGGAGCCAGGGTGGCCTTGAGCCCTCTCTGCGGTCCAGCTGCAGCCTCCAGGGAAATCTCCCTCTGATCCCCCCCCCCCACGTCTCTGCTCCTCAGTGTGCTCGCCTAAGACATCCCAAGAACTGCAGGACCTGCCCTACTCTGTTATTACGAAAAAGACTGCCTGCAGAGTTCGTAGCTCCTGGCCAAGGCAGCTTGAGGGCGCAGGGCGAAGGCGCCGCCACCATCACTTCCCCCCGCCCCCCTTGGCCCCGCCCCATCCGCATCCCGGTGGCTGCGATCTCTGTGGGGTGGAGTCCTCACACTCGCCCTAGGTGGTGTGTCTAGACTCGTGTGCGGTCGTGTGTACAGATGCAGGACAGCTGCAGGTCCCCCTGCTCCAGGTAAGGGGGGTGGGTCTTGCCGGGTGCAGGAGACCGGAGCTGGAGAGGCTGGGGCGGGCGCCCCCGGAGGGAACCTGGACTTGTGATCCGGTTATTTAAAATATTCGCGTGGCCGGTCTCGGTGGCTCAGTCTGTAATCCCAGCACTTTGGGAGGCCGTGGTGAGTGGATTGCCTGAGTCTGCGGGTTCGAGACTCACCCGGGCAACCTGGCGAGACCTCGTCTCTGCAGTAAATCAAAAAATCAGCCGGGCGTGGTAGCGCGCGCCTGTAATTCCGGCTACTCGGAAGGCTGAGGCGGAAGGATCGCCGGAGCCCAGCAGGGCGAGGCTGCGGTGGCGGGAGCGGCCCCTGCACTCCAGTCTGGGCGACAGAGTGAGACTCCAACTCAAAAAAGAAAAAAGAAAAACTAGCCGGGCATGATGGCGCATGCCTGTAGTTCCAGCTACTTGGAAGGCTGAGGTGGAAGGATCGCCTGAACCCAGTAGCTCAAGGCTGCAGTGACCGTCACTCCAGTTGGGCGACAGTGAGGCTCCAACTCAAATAAGTACATAAATAGGCCGGGATCGGTGGCTCAGCCTGTAATCCCGCGCCTTTGGGAGGCCGAGGCGAGTGGATTGCCTGACCCCGTGGGTTCGAGACCCGCCTGGGC